CTTCTCCACGGGCGGCGCGTCAGTGGACTTGAACGCGGCGTTGGAGTCGGCGCACTTGGCCTTGACCATGAGCGCCTTCTTGGGCCGCACCGTGCTATAGGTGCACGTGGGCGCATCGTTGGCACGGCGCGGCCGGAAGAAGGGCTCGGCCACGTGCCGCACGTGCGTGTTCTTGTAGTAGTGGTCCTCCGTGCCGGGGTAGGACCAGGGCAGCTCGCGCTCCTTGGAGTGGTGCTCCCTGTCGCGCCTCTTAAGACTCGTCGAACCATCGCTGCGCTTGGACTGCGAGCCGGCGCTGTCCTCATCGGTGAGCAGCGAAGCCTGGTCGGGGCACGGCGGCAGCTCGCCCGGGCACAGATAGGGCTCGCCGATCTCGTCGGCGAACTGCGTGTCGATCGCCGCGAGCTCGCACGACGTGTGGCCCACGCACACCGACGCCACGCGCTGCTCGACGATGGTCCGGGTGGCCTCGCAGTCATCGTACACGGTGACGCTGTTCTCCTCGCACGAACCGTCGAGCTTGCCGAAGCGCGCCCACAGGATCTCCGAGATTACACCGCCCTGCGGGCACTCCAGCCGCAGCACGTCCTCCTCGTTGGCCGCCCGCGCGTAGAGCTGACCTCCGCCATAGCCACAGATCGAGTTATCGACCTCTGTGTGTATTGGAATGTTTGGCATGTCAACGTAAGGATCTCGTGTTAACCATCATGTATACATATGATATTAATATAATTCGATAAAAGGAGAGGCGCGTACGAGAGCTTTTCAGGCAATACTCCGATTGGATGTCGATGTACCACTTGGCGATGTGGCCACGCGACGCTGGGGCGTTCACGGTGAGCACCCAGTCGGCGAGCGCCGGCAGGCCCTTGAGCGAGGCCAGTTTCGGCACGGACGCCATGGTGTACTGCAGCGTCGTAGGCGACGGCACTCCACTGCCAAGCGGCGCCGAGTCTGACGGACAGATGCCAGCAGCATCAGGCGTCAGAGTGCAGTGTGACAAACAACATCAAGGAGGGAGAGGGGGGGGGACGCACTCGTGGTGGCGACTTTGAGGACGATGTCGGTGGTGATGTTCTTGGCGCGCGGGCTGGTGTTGGGCATGCCCTTGCGCGTGAGGGTGAGGCTCACCGAATCCGGGTTGCGGTGCACGAGCTCAACGTAGACCGACAGCGACGTGATGCAGTCGCCATCGGAGAAGCCCAGCCCCGTCAATGGGAACTTGCCCGGCACGTTGCCCTTGCTCTGCCACGGCGTTACGGTCTTGGCCAGCGCTCCTGATTTCCGTCGACACATGAGAAGAGAGAGCAAGAGGGAGAGAAAGAAAAAAAAGAAATTGGGGGGGGGGGAGTGGCAAGCGAACCGGCATCGAGCTCGTCGGTGTGAGCATCGCAGAAGGCAGGTTCGTTAAGGCCCTGGCCGCGGATGACGTGGACCGAGCCGAGGGTCACCTGCGAGAGAGCGGTCTCTAGGCCGAGACTCACCGTCTGCCGCTGCGTGAACCATCCGCCCTTCCAGCGCTGGAACAGCGGACCCAGCACATTGGCACGGTCCTTGGCTCCCGTGTTGGGCGAAACCTACCCATGTACGTGACCAAGCCAACGTCAGCCAAGCTAATATTAAAATAAAAATAAAAATAAAAATAAAAATAAAGATAAAGAAATAAGAAAACAAAGAGATTCCGGAGGAGTGGCCCAAATAAATGCGTACCAGCTGAGCGAGGGTCTTGTCGAACATGGGGATATCGGTTCGGTCCTTGAGCTTGTCGGCCCAAGCGATGGATGAGGGCGCCCGCGAAGGCACCGGAAGAGCCACCTCGCCGAGACCCTTGACGTCGTAGATGACCTCGGCCTTGTTGATGGTGACCAGCGCCAGCGAGGACGGGTCGGTAGTGTACACGTTGCCCTTGAATCGGCCGGCGAAGTCGAACGACATCGTCAGCTCGTAGTAGGCGCACTGCGGGTTGTCCGGCTTGCGCCGACACTCGCTGTACCGGAACGCCTTGGCGTCGCCACCCTTGATGCCGAACTGAAATTGTGTGTGCATGTGGGTTAGCACGGCATCGCCACCGTGATGAACAGAAGGCTCGCGAAGGGGGGTATCATCGTACGAGAGGCTCGGTGGAGGGACCATCATGCCAAGAGAGCGAGAAGAGGTCGGCGTCCTCGCCTCCGACGCGGTTGTTGCCGTCGGCGTCGGCCAGCACGACGCGCAGGGTCTGGTCTCGGAAGACGCGGATCTCGCCGTCGGCGTCATTGCTCACCACCTGCACGGTGGAGCTGGCGGGCGAGAACGGGCCATAGAGAAGGAAGCGCCGGGAGTCCCGAGAGCTGATGTCCTGGTTCGTGGCCTCGCGGCGCCAGATGAGGGTCACCATGGCCTCGCGCTTGTCGGCCGTCGGGCGCGAGAAGGTGCCCTGGGGGACGATGCACAGGCCCCGGAGGGTCAGCGAATCTGCTTGGGAGATGGGCTGGTTGTCGTAGGGCACCAGCGGGCCGCTCCACACCACGTCGCGGACTGTCTCGATGCGGTCGCCCGAGGGGGCGATGCGCTGGGTGTTGCCGCTCCAGCTGACCTCGCAGATGGTTTGGATGGACGGGTCGCTGTCAGGGTAGGCACGGCCAGACACCGCGATCACGATCTCCTTGGTGTAGTCACCTCCAATGGGCGACACCGCCTGCAGGATCGGTTCGCCGTCGGGGTATTCTGAAAAGGGAAAAAGCGGTTCAAGTTAGTTCTATAGGAAGCCGAGTGTAGTGTTTCTAGGGAACGACGCACTGTTCTGGCACTGGGCGCCGTAGTAGAGGTAGTTGGCGCACACGCACTCCAACGCGATGGCGTCCTTGGACCACCAGCAGGTGCCGTTGTTCTGGCAGGCCGCCGCACAGGTGGGGAAGGCGACCGTGGCAGAGCGAGAGACGCCGTACACGGTCTGCACCTGCACCTGGGTCTCCAAGTTGGACACCTTGTCGGTCTCGGGCAGGGTGAGCGTGCACTTGATCTGGTTGCCTGATGGAATGGAGTGTGATGTGTTAGTGCCACGAACCCGGTTGGATAGAGGGGGTTTGAAGCCAGCCACGTACTGGAGATGGTCATCGACGACTCGACGCAGGACATCTGGGGGCCGAAGATCTGCACCACGGGCTTCTCGTCCGGGTCGGGGTTGAGCTCTCGGCCCTCGATGGTCAGCTCCAGCTTGCTGCCCGTCGTGACCTCAATTTTTGTCGACGTTATGCGTGGCGCGCCCGGCTGTTTCCGGAAGGTGGTCCCAGGAAAGGGAATGCTCAGTAAAATAAAAGTGGTGTTCTTTGATCCCATTCGCCAACGTTGTCGTGGCAACTGGGTGACGGGGCGGTGATGGGGGTGAGGCAGGTACGTACCGCGGTGTCGGAGGTGAGCCTGGTAATGGTGCCGCTGGCCCGCATGTAGCACGCGCCGTCGTCGTCGGGCATCTGGAGGCCCGAGGTCCAGCCGAAAGAGGAGCCCTCGGCCATGTTGCCGATGGTGTAGCGCTGGATCTCGGACCCCCGCTGGCCCTCGTCGTCCTGGCCCAGGTTCCAGGTGCAGGGGTCCCCGTCGGCGTCCTTCTCGTACATCTCGACCTCGACCTGGATCTCGCTCTTGGTGGTGGAGAAGTTGATGTCCCACCCGGGCGAGAAGTCGGGGTTGATATCGTCGAAGGTCTGGCGCCAGAAGCACTTCTTCGAGCCCGTCGCCCCGATCTCAAACTTCCACACATACTCCTCTCCCGTATTGTCGTCGAGGCTGCGATCACAGAGCGATGAAGCGGGCTTGGTCAATAATCTCAGGCTACTTAGAAACTGAGAGAGGGGAGGGCGTACTTAAGGCAGCGGCCGGTGGTGTAGAGGCGGTCGACGCGGAAGGCGTAGTCCCCTGCCTGGCAGGTGGGCACGAAGAGCACGACCAGCGCACTACACAGCAGGAGAAGTGAACCCGCCACCCATTCGATTCGGCCCATGGTGTGGCCGCGTGCGTGTAGGTGATGGCTACGGGCTTTGTTTCCGCCCCAGGCGTCCGGCAGTGTGTGAAGGTGAAGTGATGAAATGAGAGTGGGCCTCTCTGGCTCTTTATGTCCCCTGACCAGCCTAGACTCGGTCGCCGGCTACGGTGAATAAGGCACTATTGGCAGTTGCCTGGGTCCGAGAGTAACTCTGGGCCCTGGTTACATAACTCCGGGCCGCGGTCGGCAGTTCCGTTTTGAGTCCAACCCGATCACACGGCCGACGCACTCGTTCGAGAGTGGGCGGACCACATCTGCGCGAGGGGACAAGGACAACGGGGGGGGGTGGCCGTCGCCCGGCGGGCACGGAGAAAAGGTGAGGAAGAAAGGCCGTTGCTGTGCGGCACAGCGAGCACAGAGAAGGTGAGAAAGGTAAGCAGTCGCCGGCTACGCCGTTGTCGCGGCTCTCCGCAGAGAGCAAGGGGCGTGCGATCCCGCACACAAACTGGCCAGCTTGCAAACAACAGCACAGAGCACGACACACACAGGGGGTCTCGGGGGTCGGTTTTGATGGTCGTGCCCTTGATCTCCTCCCGGATCTTGATAAGTTCGCGCTCCTCCCTCTGGACTCGCTCTCGGTGGCTTTTTCATCAACGTGCACGCACTCAGAGTGGGAGGTGGCCCTAATTGCGCACGTACACACAGTCAGTTATTTGGGGGGGGGGAGTGGCGCGGCGAGAAAGGCGAGCGCGGGTCCTGCTGCTGGACACGTTGCGCGATCTTGTTGCGACGGGTAGATCCCCGGCAACGGCACGCCGAAGCTGCACCCCATCAACATATAAACTTATGGAACATGCAGAAGAAGCAACAATGTGTTCAATACTAAAACAAAATCAATAACGTAATGGTGGGCTCTCAAGGATCTGTGGTGGGTAGGTGGTACATCGTTGCACATATCGTCGTCTTTGGGCTGGTGGGCAAACCAAGAAATGGGCGACCATGAACGCTTCTGAGCAGTAATGGTGTATTCGGTTCAAGATCAGGGGAGCATGTACACCACCTTGTTCCTTCCCTCCATCTCCAGCTGTTAGATTGGGGTGGAGGGAGAGCGAGTCAGTACCGGCCCACCGCGAGCGGGGTATGGGGCGAGGACGGTACGTACGTAGGCGAGTTGGATGCGCGGGTCCCGCTCCATGAGGTACCGAATGAAGTCGTCCGTCACCACCACCAGTCGCCCGTCCTTCGTTCGTCTGTCGTCCGAACCACAGGTCCCCCGCGTAAGAGTCGGTTGGTGGTGGCTAGTGGGTGGTAGTGGTGGGTAGTACCTGTCGGGGAACTGCTCGGGGAAGACACAGCAGGGCACCACCGCGAAGCACTTGTTGTGCGCCAGCGCAAAGTCCACGATCTGCGCCCCGCCCGCCCACGACCACCACCAAAGAGCCAAGTCAGCCACCGGTCAGTGCATCGTGGCTGGTGGAGCGGAGGGCAGGTACGGGCTCGGTGGCCTGGTCCGAGTGCAGGCCCACCACCGCCGAGCAGTCCCGGAGAATAGCGCGCGCTGCCGCGGGTGCGAGCCGTTCCACCTCGGCCACCGTCGCCGGCTGCTGCGGCGAGGCAGCAGCGGTCTCCTCACCGCCCCCGTTTCCTTCGTCCGTTGGGGTCCACAGCCCAGGCTCGAACCACGTGCAGATCTGGCGGAACGCCGGCTTCTTCTGTTTCTTCAACTGTCTGCACACGACCACACCATCGTCAACACCACATCCCGCATACGCGTATCACCGCACATGCATCACGCACACGCACCACCGCACCCGCACCACCACACGATGAATGAAGATGGGCGCTGGTACTTTTTCTGCTTTTTGTTGAGCTTGGCAAGGCGAGGTTCGATGAGGGTGGTGGGGATGTCGTGGCCGGTGCACTGCAGCTGGAAGGAGAGGTAGCCCTTGCCTCCCGCCACGTCCACCACTCCGCTCCCCTCACGCAACCGCTCCGCCCCGAACGTCTTTACCAACCACTCCCGGAAACTGCAGCGCAAGACACAGCACACGAGACACATCGCACGCGCACGACACACGCACACAACACACGCCCATACGTGAGCGTTGTGGCAAGTAGTAAGCGATGGGTGGAGGAGGGGGAATACATTTTGGCGCGGGCGGATCGAGGGAGCTTGTCCTCGAACGGGTCGGAGGGGTCGTGCTCCTTCTGCCTGATCTCGGCCTTCTCCCGCCGGTGTTCCTCGATACGCTCCCGCTCCGCCTCGCTCACAAACGCGTGTCGGTATTTGCACCGCTCGCCCTGATACGTAATTTCGCGATTAAGTTGGCGCACACAGCGAGCAACATACGACACGATACGACACGGAGGAAGAAGACGGTGGTACGTGTTCGCACTTGCCCTTCCACCAAAACTTGCACAGCGGGGGTATCGCACTGCCGTCTGTCGGAAACGTGTGGCCGCGCGAGGTTGGTAATTGTCCGTAGAGCAGAGAGCAGAGCAGAGCAGAGAGGTGTACCGGCAGAGACCGCGCGCTCAGGGACGATGGCCGAATGGCGGGACACGTACGTCGGATTCTTGCTCTCATCGGGCGAACGCCTGTGTCGTGCGGTTGTGCATGTGTTGTGTGTGCCGTGCGTGTTGTGTGACCAGCGAGTGTGAGTAATGGAGCGAATGACAAGAATGGTCAGCAATGGGAGATCAGCTCGAACCGGCGTGGGGTGAAGTGTTTGCCCCGCTTATTGGCCGGACAGCAGGCGTCGCTGCCGCTGGCAGCCGTGGCCGTCTCCACCCACTGCTTCACCAAGCGCAGGTTCGTCACCGTTATGCTCAGCGTACCCGCCGTCGTCCGCTCCGGAAAGCCCTCCGCCTCTATCGTGTTGCGTGTTGTGTGTCGTGTCGTGTCATGATTAGTTGGTCATCGGACGTTCACACATTGGTGTGAGGCACGCACCGACGACGTCGCCCGGTTTGACGTTCTTCGTGGTCCACCAGAAGCTGCGCTCCCGCTCCTTCTCCCTCTCCTCCGCGACATGATCGCCATCAGGGGCAGGACCCTGCCACGCGGGGAGGATGAAGCGGAGCTGGAGGACGGCGTCCTCGCCCGGCGCGAGGCTCTGGAGGTCGAAGAAGGCCAGGCGCCGGCCCAGCAGCCGCTTCACCACCACCCGCCCCTCGGCGCACACCCGCTCCTGGCGCTCCTCTCCCGGCTGCAGGTCCTCGAACGGCGCCAGCAGCCGATGGAACGTAGACGCTGTCCGGCCTTGCAGGGCGCAGGTCTCCTGATCCTCCTGCCCAATTTGATTGAATTAAATCAGAATTTGTCTTTTAAAAGAAATGATCTTCTACGCCTAAGCTGCTTATCTATCGATCTCGGTTCACACGTGCGACCTCGACAACCTCGGGGAACTTGCGGCAAGATGTAATACGATACCCCCTCCGGCACAGACACAATCTCGCGTTCCATGAGAAAACAACATACAATGAAACAAAATGTTTATCATAAAAACTCGCCACAGCGAAATTTCTGTACGGTCACGTTTTGTGCTCGCGTCTCGCCTGCCACGGTGGCGACAGCCGCGATACGATCAGATCAGCTGACGGTGAACTAATGTGCACGTGGAGAGGGCGACGGCGGCCACGTCGCACGAGCAATCACCAGTTGTCGTGCTTGTGTGCCTGGAGCCACTCGCGTGCGATGGTCCGCGCCCCTCCCTCGCCCGGGTAGCAGCCGTGCAGCCACCGGCCGTTTCCTCGGTAGCGGTGGGCTCGCACGTAGTTCTTCTCTACTGACCGTCGATACCTGCAGGCAAGTGCTGGTTAGCGAACAATGCCAAGTATGTGCGTGGTGATGTAGATGATAGAGTGCGTCGCAGGTGAGGTACTGCTTGGTCTGCGTGCTCTTGCCCTTGAGTGTGGCCTTGTTGACCTTCATCACCTTGAACGTCATGTAGAGCAGGTTGTCATTGGTCTCTGCGTCGATTGGGAGCAGCTTCGTAGACCTCCTGAACTGCGCTCGACCCTGTGTAGCGATCCGTTACCGTAGTGATATGAGCACACAACGCCTGGGTGTGCGGTGGTGCGTGTGCGTGTGCGGTGGTGCGTGTGCGTGGGCGGACGCGGGTGTTCGTGCCGTGAAGAGGCCGATGAACTGCTTGTGGAAATACGAGCGGAGGAAGGCGAGCGTGATCTCCCATCGCCAGCCCTCAAACTTGAACGTGTGCGGAAGCGGGACATCGCGGCTGGCCGGCAGCGGGTAGTGCATTTGGCTGGGCGTCCAACCAAAATGCCACTGCCGCCAGTGGTCAGCCATGAGGTGCCCTCCCTGCCTGTCTCGCCGAAGCCGCTCGTGGTCAGCCCGGGCGCTCTCCACCTCGTCTTCCAGGTCGCCATCTCGACGAGCTCGTCGCCTGCGCAGGTCGCAGGCGCGCAGGTCAGCATAGAGCGACCTGAAGTACTGCGCCTCCTTCCGGTCCCACTTGCGCCCGACCTTGCCTCGCGTCCGCCGTCCAGCTGTTCCGCTTCTTCGTTTCTCCCGACAGACCGCAGCGAATCGCCGCCTCTCCTCGTGAGACATTATCGCGCAAGCGTCCCCGCCTCCTCCACGGCCATCTTCGTCTTCATCAATGAGTGGACTGATTTGATAGAGAATGGCGAGGAGTTGGGCCGCTTTCATCCGCAGTCTCGAGGTCTCTAAAGCACACTCACACGAACGGCGCAGTTGTCAGCTCGCGCAGGAGTGATTGCAAACCAAAGCTAGAGAGGGATGGACAGAGGGAAGTGCGTGGACGGACCGGCCATGTGCTCGCGCTCGGACTTGGCGCAGAGCGTGCTGATGAGCGTTTCCTTGTGTCTGGCGATGAACGCCAGCACCTGTTCGTCTGCGTCGACGAGGCTCAACAGGAAAGCGATAGTGCTGAGCGCTTCAGCACGTTCAGCGTTAGCCGTGGCTGTAAACCTATGCCTTGTCCCGCGCCAAGGAGCCGCATCTCTTCCTCCAACCTCGTCTTCATCTCCCTCCTTGTCATCGTCATCGTCATCGTCATCGTCATCGTCATGGTCTTCGTCTTCGTCTTCGTCTTCATTTTCGTCCTCGACGTAGTCCTCTTCCTCTCCATCGTCGATATTACCGTCGCTTTCGTTATCGTCATCATCACTCTGATTGCCTGTGTCGTCACTCTCTTCATCCCTGTTGTCTACTGAGTCAGAGTTAGATTCCGAGCCGTCAGCGGTGTCCCACAGGCGACGATCTACCGTGGCGGGCTCAGGCCACTCGACCAGGTAGAGCCGGGCAAGCCTGTCGCATGTCTCGAGGCCCAGCCTGGTGTCCTCTAGCACCATGCTCACCACGGCCAACGTGCGCATGGCCTCCCTCCGCAGGTGACTCGCCGGCCCGTCGCTCGCTTCGCCGGCCCATTGCTGGCTGTCGGCGGCGTGGTTGATCAGCACGCGATGCACCACCGCGAGCAAGGGCAGGTCCGATTCGGAGGAGAGCCGCTGCTTGGCCGCCTTCCGCGTCTTCCTATGGGGTCCGGGCTCATCGAGGAGGAGATGGGCGTGTGCGTTGGTGCACAGCACCACGAGCGCCGAGGTGAGCCGTAGCGCTGCCACTTGCAGCCTCCACCCCAGGAAGCGCTCCCTGTTGCGCTTCTTGCCTCCGACGCGCTGTTTGGCGCCTGACCTCTCGTCTTCTTCTTTGTCCTCCTTGGGCTCTTCGAAGACTCGGGCGACTGCGGCGGGTGGCGCCATGACCGGTCGCAGCTTGCTCACGATCCAGCGCCTTAGGGCCAGCAGCCGGTCTCCCGCAGTCGCCCCCTCGCTCTCCAACCAGGCTAGCGTGCGCGGTTTCCGGCGCATCGGCTCGCCTGTGCCTGCAGCTTAGCAAGTTGCCAGCTGGCGTTCCCTCACAATCAAATGCAGAGGATGTAATCAACACATCATCACCATCACCACGTGTACCCTGGTGCTGTACTCGGTACGGCACCCCGGACAGCTCGTGCTGCAACGCGTGGATGAGTCCTTCGGCCGCTCTCTGGTTGTGCCCCAATCGCCACCAATGCGTTACCATGACTGCACCATGCGCTGATGATGATTGAACGGGCACACCATTGGGTCGAAGGAGGGGGGATTCTGTACCTGCTGGCGGCGTAGGTCGGTCTGGGCGAGGAAGGCCTGCCACACATGGTTCGACGGCGGGGCGAGCGGCCACTCCACTTCTTCGCCGCGCTCGCTGGCACCGAACCCACGCTCGCGGTCTCCTACTTTTGAGGTTCGGTCAACCTTCTTCTTGGTTCTCCTTGTGCCTCGGTCTGAGGCAGACGACATCTTTCTTCTTCGTTGTCCGTTTTCGTTTTCTTTCGTTTTTTCTTTATTTCCTTTCTGTCCAGCAGAGATTGATCGATGGAGGAGGACCACAGCGAGTGGCCTGCGTGCGCCAACCTGATTTTGAGGTTGAGGTACCTCTCTGCGTAAACGCCAAACGTTCGCCTAATACTAATCCCCCACTTCGGCAATTCACTGAAGGTTGTGAGGGGGTAGAAACGGACCCATAATGGCAGGCGAGCACGGCAAGCCTAAGTAACCTGCAGCTGGTGCGCGCCAGCTCTTCTTTACTGCTGGCCTCGCTCGTCTCCGAGAGAAGAGGCTGACAAAGAAAGGGAACATGAACGGTGGCGACAGCACGACGGTGACGGTGACGAACTTGGGTGGTGCCCCCAGCCCGCTGCCCGATAGGGATGGTGTGGTGACGAGCACGCTCGCCGAGCCGACGTCGTTGTCGTCTTCTGTCCAACCGAGCCCTGATGCCGAGTGCATAGATGACGAGCCCAGGAGCAGCCCCAAGCGCAGGAGAGGCTGCGATGACGAGGCGCAGCCGACGCGAGAGAGCAACCAGGTGGCCGCCGAAGCCGCCAAGCCCACGGGTCCCGCGGCTGGAGCCAGCACTTCGGCGGCGCCGGTGGACCCGCCGCAGCCAGCAGGCGGCCCGACAGCCGCACCGGTGAGCACTCCCAGCAGCGGGTCCACGCCCGACTACGGCCTCTTCGTCGAGGACCACAAGGTGGAGCTGCAGCGCGTCCAAATCGACGTGCTCCTGCTCGACTTGTGCGTGGACGTACGCGTGCGCCAGGTCTTCGCAGTCTCCAAGCCGGCCAAGCGCAAGCTCGGAGCCAGCGACGACGGCACGACCGACAACGAGGCCGGCCCGCGGCTGGCGTTCGCGTTTCCCATCGACGACGTGAAGGCCGGCGTCTACCACTTCAGCGCCCGCCTCGGCCCCGACCAGGTCATCACGGTCAAGGTGGTCGAGAAGGACCATGGCGACGATGCCGCAAAGAAGCCCACCGGCCTCCGCAACAGGGCGCTCGCCCAGCAGCAGGCGTCGCTCATGACGGCCAAGCGCGACCGATTCGAGGTCGACCTCGGGCGGCACCGGCTGCCCTTCGCCGACCACGCGACCGAGCCCGAGGGTCGCAGGGAGCTGCAGGTGGTCCAGGTGGAGGTCGAGCTGCGCTACATGATGGAGATCATGCTGGCCCGGTCGTCGCTGTTCCGCATCGAGACGGCCGAGGACAAGGCTAAGGTCGACGCCCAGCGCGCGGAGCAGGGCAACCGGTTCAAGTTCGTCTTCCCGGCGCTCTTCTCCTCGCCGCACTTCTGCGCCACCGAGTCGTCGCTCGCGCTGCACGTCGACGTCGAGGCCGCCTCGCCGATCTTGTCGCTCGAGTCCCTCACCCACCCTCAGCTAGCCATGACCCTCGACGGTACTTTGTTTTTCATCGAACCTTTCCATCGAACCTTTCTGGCCCTTGCAGAGATTTAACTGATTGGTTGGTGCTGGCCAGGTGGTGACGGAGGCCTCAGCGCGAGCGGCGATCTGCGGTTGGCGCGGGCGTGTCTGGACAAGGACTTCATCCTGCTGGTCGCAGTGGAAGAGCCCCACCAACCTCGCGGGTGGAAGATGTCCCTGCCGCTCCCGGTCGACACTGACGACCACCAGCAGCCGGCGGAAGACGTCTCCGCAGTGATGCTGGCGCTTTGTCCCGACGTGAGCTCCACCGCCAGCGAGCCCACGCTGGGTACGAGCGGCGATGCTGAGGTCTCGCCCCAGCAGGAGATCATCTTCATCGTGGACCAATCAGGTATCTTACCTCCTGCCACCCCCCCTTAGTCGAGGTTGTGCCTGCGCGGCGGCTCGTACCTAATCCGAAGCCTGCCCTACTACGCGCTCATTGCAGGCAGCATGTCCGGGTCGCCCATGGAGTCGCTGAAGGAGTGCCTCAACATCGTGATCCGCAGCCTGCCGCCCGCCACCACGCTCTTCAACCTGGTCGGGTTCGGCTCGAGCTACAAAATCCTCTTCACCGACGAACGTACGCCTCCAGCTCCCACCTCTTACCTCCCATCACACGGCAAATGCGAACACCGCTCACGCGCGTGTGCGTGTGTGCGCAGATGGCCGGCCGAAGGGGCAGGCGCTCAACCAGGAGACGTTCGACCAGGTGACCAATTACATCCGGTCGATGGGCGCCGACATGGGCGGGACCAACATTCTCTCGGCGCTCGTGGCTGTGCTCGAGGGCCGGCACCAACCGGCGGACAGCAGCAGCTACCTGTACCTGCTGAAGCGAGACAGCGGCGCGCCGCCAATGCTCTCCGCTGCCGGCAACTCTTCGACCCTGCCGCCGTTGCCTCCGCCCACGTGTCCGCGTCAGCTGTTCATTCTGAGCGATGGCATGATGGACAACAAGCGGGAGGACATTCTCGACATACTCCGCAAGCACTCGACCAACACCACCGCCTTCACATTCGGCATCGGCGGTGCGCACCCTTCCCCCCCTCTTCAAAAGGGCGCCTAACTCACTGCCCGCATCACATCAAAGGGACGGCTGATGTGGAGTGCATCAAGGCAATGGCGCGAGCCATGCGCGGCTCGGCCGAGTTCATTTCCCACAAGTGCGTAATCACCATCTGCTCTGCCGTACGCGCGGTTGTGCTCACTCTTAGTACACACGGGTTTAACCAGACACGACATGGAGGCCGCCACTGCGCGTCAGCTTGCTCGTGCGCTGCGGCCAGGCTGGAACGACCTTGCCGTGTCTTGGCTCGGAGATAACAGGCAAGGCCCCGACGAAGCCCAGCACGACGTCGACCAGGGCACCAACGACATGGAGCAGGAGGCGGAGGAGGAGGAGGAGCTGCCCAAGGAGTGGCTGTGTCCCATCACCGGCCAGCTGATGCAGGATCCGGCCGTCACCTCGTGCGGCCACCTCTTTGACCGAACGGCCATCCACCAGTGGCTCACCAAGGTATGCATCATGATACATTCCTTGCACCACCGCTGTACAGCTAACAGCTTGAATGTATGTCACTCTTCCTGCAGGAGTCGCTGACCACGGGCCGTTTCTGTCCCATGTGTCACAACCCGCTCTCGCTGCGCGAGGTGTTCCCGTGCTACCCCATCAAGTCGGCCATCGAGGAGCACCTCTCGAAGCGCAAAAAGTCGTCGGCGGCGGCGGGCAGCTCGACGAAGAACGGCGACAGAATCGCCGCCGCTGCAGCGCTTGGCCAGCCCTACCAGGCGCCCTTCCAGCCGCCGCCGCTCTTCGAGGGCGACACGCTGGTGGTCTACGCCTTGATGCCCTCCACAACCGCATGCGACTCTGCGCAAGTCACGGCTCGCGGTCCTCGCGGAGGTGCTCCTTCCGCCTCCGCTCTCCCACCATCATCGCGCATTGCATGTGTGACTTACAGAGACCACACGCGCCAATCTATGCAGAGTCCATTAAGGAGCGGGTGGTCCTGCGCACGCCCACTTCACAGGTGTCAACGCTGTTGCATAGGCTGGCCGTGCGCGCGCTCATCAAGGACTACCAGCAGGACAACAGTACGGCGCTTGTCCCCCCCCCCACTTTATCTGGCTGTGTGCGTGTGCGAGCGTGCCTCACGGCTTTCGATACACGTAGGCGTGTGGCACTACCGCTTCGCGCGCGTCAAGGACGAGCTGAAGCGCCCGGGCGCCGCGATGTCTGTGCAGCACTACGCCCGAGCCGAGATGACCAAGCTGGCGCTTCTCTACTCTGTGGTGTCTCCGTTCACTTGCCTTTCAGCGGGTGGTATCTCGACAACGACGATTCAGCGCGCCACCAACACTGTGCTCGCGCCAAGCTCTGGGCCGACTTACTCTCCAACCGGAGCTCCGGCAGCAGCGGCACCCGCGCAGGTGGCATACAGGTACTACTCCAACACAAGCTGCCGCTTTCAATCTTTGATTGCACCTTACCTCACCACACACACACACACACACACACACACACACACACACCGCACACGCAGTCCTTCGTATGCGCCCACGTCCCCGTCGTATTCGCCGACGTCGCCCAGCTGGGAGCCGCGTGCCGATCCGCAGGGCACCGCCGATTGGATGGACGGCGTGAGCGGCCTGCCCTTCCCCATCACCACCAGCGGATCCTTCCTGTCGCCGCCCCACAAACCCAGCTCGCCCGTCTACCGCCCCACCTCTCCCAGCTATTCGCCCACGTCGCCAAGCTACAGCCCTGCGTCGCCGGCCTACTCACCCACCTCACCCAGCTACAGCCCAACATCGCCAGCCTACTCACCCACCTCACCAGCCTACTCGCCCACATCACCTTCCTATTCGCCCACCTCGCCCAGCTACAGTCCAACATCGCCGTCGTACTCGCCCACGTCGCCGTCTTACTCGCCCACATCGCCGGCCTATACGCCGACGGCGCCCACGAGCCACAGCCCGACAGCGAACGCCTTCGGCGCGGTTCCGGCCAGCGCGCACCCGAGCGCGATCCCAACCTACGTGCCTTCCGCTCCGGTCTACTGCCCCACCTCGCCCAACTACTCGCAAGGTTGGGTGAGCGTCCCCCTCTCCGGCCCGGCCCCAGCCGTGTCTGTCGTCGACTCCGCACTCGGTGAGCTGACCCTGTACGCCGCCAACCCTCTTCTTTGGGCATTGTGTGGGGCGGGCGCGCTAGGGGCTCATCGCTTGGCGCACACAACATCGCAGATCTACCGCGGCCCTGTTCAATCGCATCGTGAGCACGCAACAGTTCCAGGGCTGGTGGTCCGTGCGCGACCTGGTGCCCTCCTGCTTCTCCGAGTACGCACTTCGACCACCACCACGACGATACCAACTTTGTTTTTTTAACAATTCACACTCTCACGATATCAACGATTTCTTGTGTTGTGCTGTGGTCGTCCTCCAGGCAAGACGTGAGCCTACTGGTCGCGGTGCTGCACGAGGCGTGGCGCAGCTTGCTGTCTGAGCGGACGATGTGGGCGAGCGAACAAGGAAAGGAAAAGCTGGAGGACGAGGAAGACAAGGCCCTGCCGGCCAGCAGGGACAAGACGAAGGACTGGCCCAGGATCGCTGTGACGGTGTTGGTGCTGCTGGAGCTGGAGTCGCCGGCGTTCGAGGCCAGGTTCGTGGTGTGGGAGCCGCTGGCCATCCGAGCCCGCGCCTGGCTCCGGGCGGCGTTGGGGCTGCCCTCCTCGGCCGACCTCCTGCGCCTCATCGCTTCCGTTCGGTCAACCGCACCCTAAATCCCCTTCTTCCATCGAAAGCCCAGACACAGCCAAACGAAACAAAAAACGAAACGAAACCAACAAACGAAGCGAAGCTAATAATTAATTGGTTAAAAAAACAGCTTCATCGCGCAACCCGGGTCGCAGAGAGAGCAGACATTGGTGGTTGGGTTGTGGTGCATGGTCGAGGTGTCTCGATTGTCCGTCTGGAGGGCGCGTCTAACATCACCAATCGCGGGTTCTAATCCCGCCGCCTCCATCATCAGGGGGCGTGGCCGAGTGGTTAAGGCGTTGAACTGCTAACTCAATTTACTTCGAAACCTGGCGTCGTCTTCCAGTGTAAGCGGCAGACCCAAGCAAGCTTGCTTGGGTTGAGGCACCTGACGCGATCACCACCCCCTTCTCTTTTGTGCGCCGTGTGATTCAACTCCTCAGTTTTTAGCTCCGATGAGAGGAGTGACCACAAATCTTGGTTGGTTGTTGTTCACCAAGATCAAGGGCTCGATGACGGTGTAGATCAGACAAGCTGGCGGTTTTCTTTGCCTAGTGTTGGGCCAACGGGGCAAGTTACAAGGGAGTTTGTGCGTGCTTGTGATCCTCCGTGCGGTGGTCCACTTCCTCGATGGTGACGAGTGGTGTGTACGGCTGTCGCCCCTCCAGCAACAGCTGTTGGCCTCCTGGTTGAATATGAAAAGAAAATAGAAATGGCGCGTATGCGCAAGACACGGATTAGAAAAACAAACAAGACTATAAGTCCGGGTGATGAATGGAGGTAAGCTTACCCGGCGACGGCGATGGAGACGAAGCTTCCTCGGGCATGGGGAACTCGATGGTGGGCACGGGCCTCTGCTTCACGTCTTCGATGGCCAGCGGCTTGCCCGATTCGTCGGTTTTGATAGTGACCACCGTTCGCGCTGTAACAAAAAAAGAGGCGTGCGTGCGTGCGTGCGTGCGTGCGGATGAGAATCACGTGACCAAGTGCAGATCACTGGACTGGGGCAAACGAAGAGCGTACCAGCGCTGATGGTGCTCTTCTTGGCGGCCCTCTTGGCGAGCTTCTTCACACCGAGCGATCGGACGTTGCTGACGGTCTGGAAGACGTCAGCGCCGACCGCGAAGCTCTGGCCCACAACCTCGGCGGCTTCCGAGCCGTACTTGTGCTGGACCACAGTCACCGTGGCTCCGCTCGATGCCGTCAGCACCGTTTTGCCGGCGTTCTCCAGCGCCTCCCAGACCGTAACTGGTGTGGTCGCCACGCGAGAAGTTAATGAAACATGAAAAACAACCGTGTCGCTATAGTGCAAACGCACGGCGCCACACCACACACACACAACACACACACAAACAAACACACACACGTACCCACGCCTCGCACGGTCGAACCGCCAACACCCATCGCTGACTTGACGGGCGCATAGCCACCACCGTCTCCGCCCTACGGACGAGTCAGTGAGCTGGTAATACAATAGCAAGCCTGAACAATGCGCACCGACGGGACTGCCTTGGCCACGCCCTTGCCCACGAGCTTGCCCAAGCCCTCGGCGGCGTAGACGAGCCCGTTCACCACCGCTCCGGAGGCTGATGTCACCCATTTGTATACATTTAACATTTAATTGTTAGTCGGCGCGATCCAATCGATCGAGACCAAAAACAAGAACAGCAACGAGCGTGCGTGTCACGAGACGAACCTGTGACGGCGATGGGAGACACGCGGCTGCCGTAGTAGATGGTGCCCTTGACGAGCGGGTTGACCTTCATTTCCTCCTCGTTGGGGGTCAGCCAGCCGGACTCCTTGGCCTGCTGCACCGTCTCGGCCAGCCGATGCGCAAAGACCTCGCTGCCCTTCTCTATATAGAAACACGACAGCGCACGCGAGCGAAGGGTTGGACGGGCTGGCTGCATAGCGACCATCATTCCTTTTCAAGAAAGTGGACATCGGTACCGAGTCGCTCACTGAGGTAGGCACTGCCCGTGTCGATGGCGGACGCGACATAATCCAAATAGCTCGCCGTTCGCTGAGAAAAATTGGTCGTCTGCGCGCCGAGAGGTCATCAGTGTCAGCTTAGCGCGCAGGTGCTTAGGAGTTCACTGAATCTTAGCGTACCGCGTCGAACGGCTTGTAGGGAACGATGGCGCCCTCGGCGTTGGAGCTGAAGGTGACGACCTCGTTGGTGACCTGCCACGACTCGCCATCGTCGCTGGTGATCTTCACGTCGGTCCTGTCCACCACCACCACCTTCTTGTCCTGCGCGCTCGTCTTTTCCTTCGCCCCTTCCTCCACACTCCCCTCACCTTCGCTGCCGTCCTCCTCCTCCTCCTCTTCCACCTCCTCCACCGAATAGGGCTGCTGCGCTGCCGAATCCTGGCGGTGGAGGTCGTCGGCGTGGGTCGCGTCGCCGTACGAGTGCTTCACCTCGCACACCTCGCGCATCTTTCGCTCGAACACGTCGATGTAGATCGGAGGAATATTGCTGCACACACGCAAGACAGTTTAGAGCCAGCGAGCGAGCGAGCGAGCGAGCGAGGCGGTGGTGGTGCCGGTTGCCGAGAGAGAAGCTACGCACTTGGGAAAAATATAGGCGACGTAGTGACCCTCCTGCTGCATGGGCAGAAGGAAGGAGAGCGGCGTGGTGCGGAGGCAGGGCAGGCCCGGGATGAGCGGAAGCTGGCACTCACCCAGGGCGAGGAACGTGAGCCGCACCACCTCCTCCCCGTTCACCTGCTCCGCTTCAAACGAGCGGAACCTGGTGGGACACGGCACACGGCACACGGGTGAAGGTGAACACCTGGGAAAGCTGCGAGAGACGCTCGTCACTGGGCCAACGTGCAACGTACAAATGCTTGTGTGAGCGCATCTCGCTGTCGGCTATGGGGACCTTGAGTATGCGTAGCGTTCCCCTCCCAACTTCCTCCTGTTCCCTGTGTGTGTGTGTGTGTCGCGTGTGTGTGTGTGTGTGTGTCAGTTACACATGTGGGGCAGTTGGTAGAGTGCTGATGTGGTGGAGAACCACGTACCCCGCATGAATATGAAGACACTGTACACCTTCGATCTGCAACACCTCCTCACACTCCCGCAGATCCTCTGTGAGCCCGAGCATGCGCAGAAAGGGGGAAAGGTTAGTAGTCAGGCGAGGCCAGTACTGGACTCGTGCAAGCACGGTACACGTGGCGTGTGGCGGCCATGCAAACGGAGGAGGGCGTACTTGCTTCCTTCTTCTCGGCCTCCTTCTCCCGGGCTTCTTGCTCCCGGAGGAACGTTCGCAGCGTCTCCGCACGGTCGGCCACCTCTGTCATCTTCGTGCGCAGCCCCTGCTTCAGCGCTTTCTCCGATTCTGCACTCGGGATGGTCAGACACACCCGGGATGGTCAGCCAAGTCAATGCCAAATAAAACAAAAGATATTAAAATGTCCAAATAAAGGCTTGACCATCAAATAAACGAGAATGAATGAAAAAATAAAAATGTCAAATAAAAAAGGTACCTGAAGAATAGAGGAGGGTGAGCTCGACGAGGCACTGGAGGGCGGCTTCGTACTGCTCCACGGCCTTGGCATAGTCGCCCCTAGTGTCGCTTTGTATGGCAGCTTGCAGCAGCAACACGCCTCGCCCCTCCAGCTCGAGCCTACTTTGCATCTTTTCTTTATCTTCCGTTTCTTCTACTACCGGGCTTTCCATCTGTGCCTTTAAAGTTTCGCTTGCGATATATGGTTCTTGTATGTCTCGAGAGATCAATCAATCCAAATGTGCTTCGTGTCAGTCTTTGCCGTTACTTCGCCACGCGTTCGATTTGTTGTGGCTGCCGTTCGTTCTTCTCGCACGAATTTTCAACTTTAGCTCCGCCGCTTCTGTTGCCTGGCACAAATCTCAATCGGGGTTTCGAAACAGTTCTGGAGAATTGAAACGTCTTTGACCTTCTTCGCTCTTCTCTTCCACGCGAAACTGAAAGAACGAAGACGGAGAGGGGCACCCTGGAGCGCGTCTCCTTGTTCAGTGGAGGTCGGGAGCGCCACCCATAACCATGAGGTAGTGGAGGTGGGCCTTGAGGGCCACCCAGAACGAGGGCAGGACCACGTAGGGCACCTCGTACTCCTCGCACGTCTTCCGCACGATCGGCGCGATCTCGGGATAGTGCGTCTGTGATCCTCTTGGTAAGCGCTGGAGAGGGCCGAGAAGAAGAAAGAGAAGAGAAGAGTGACTGTACCTGCGAAATGTTGGGGAAGAGGTGGTGCACGACCTGGTGGTTGAGCGCGCCGCTGAGGAAAGTGGTGAGCCACGAGCCGTGGGCGTAATCGATCGTGGTCATCACCTGCAGCTTCGCCCAATCCATGTCGATCATGCCTTTTCGATTCCAAACCACGAGACAGCAATTTAGCGACTGCAGTGGCGCTTAGCGAAAGTCATTGGGAGGAGTATTGTAAACGGAACCACGTACCGGTCTTCTTGTTGACCTTGGGCCAGATGGCGGGGGCGACGACGTGGTTGACTTGGAACATGAGAGCCAGGTAGTAGCTCGCCACCAAATCCGATGCCATCACGAGGGCGAAGACGTGGCCCAGGGGCAGGTAGAAGGACGGGATGACAATGCGATAGGTCACCCAGAACAGCTTGCCCAGGATAAACATAGACCAATGCCAGGGACCGGTAGGGTTCACCCTGATATGGCGCGCGCGAGAGACGTTAGAATGAGCGCCACCCAAAACCGCTGCCCGGTAGGGGAGGGAGTGTACTAAGCATGCGTTCAATAGCGCAACAACGTATAGTCGAAGTATAGTGTCCATCATCAAGTCCATAAGTGTAACCGTTGTTCGTGAATGTACCTGATCTTGCCATTCTCACCGAGGAAGAACATGATCTGAATGTCGTTGATGCGGAACTTGGTAGCGAGCAGACCTTGAAGGCACAGCGTGAGTCCAACGCCACGCGACTACTTTGTATAGAGACGAGGAGGTGCTGCGTACCATAGAGAACGGGCGCATAGAGGTGTTGGAGCCGGTAGTGGCTGTACCACGGCTGCTCGGCCTTGATACGCCGGAAGTCCACAGGGTCATTGGTGTGCACGTCGGGATCGGCTTCGGCCACGTTGGTGAACGGGTGGTGGCCCAGAAAATGCTGGTGGCACCTGTAGTAGCGAGCTTGCTGTTGAGCAGCGGAGACTTCTAGGTAGGAGCATCGGTGGCGGAGATCGAGACGCACCACATGTAGAACGAGCAGCCGTTGATGAAGTCGTGGATGGCGCCCATAAACCGCCAGGTCCATGGGCTCGAGGTCAGAGCAGCGTGCGATCCCTCGTGGACCGGGATGAGCGACAAGAGCGCCATGCCCACACCAGAACCCACAGCGAAAGCGACGCCCAGAAGCAGCGAGGCCTATAGCGAGGGAGCCAAGTTGAGTTTGAGGCTCAGCCAGAGGGTTTGCAAGTGTAGGGTACGCACCTGGGCAGCGTAGACAGCACCGAGCCAAGAGGCGAGACAAACGAAAATGAGCACGACCGAGGTGAGAAGCAATCTGGTTCCCTGGGTGTGCTTAACGCCGGCGTCCTTGAAGTAGCGCTCGACGCGCTGCTTGAGCGTGAGGTAGAACTCGGACATGGGCGGGAAGGTGGGGTGCTCGGAGTCGATCAGGCTGCCCACCCGGTAGCGCTCCAGCGTCTTCGACACCCACACGGGGTGGTACGCCTCGAACAGCTGCGTCGCATCGCGCCCCTGCGAGTTGCCAGCGCAAGAAGTGTGAACAAGAAGATCAGCCTCGAGGCTCAAGCAAGAACTATTGGTAAGGAACGTAGTGTAGACGGACTCGCACTGTACGTGTCAACGAAACGTAACGTGTTGTTTGCGTTTACTACGGTGTAGTTGGTGCGGCGTATTACTGGTGCTGCGCCAGTGGTTGAAAATAACCCCGGCCCAACGTCCGGCAGGAAGATCGATGTGGCCACCGCACGGTAGGTATGATATGATCGATCGATGAGCTCGTATAGGAGTGTAAATTGGTTGGCAATTGGAGCTGTTACGCGATCGCGTAGCCGAAATTTGATTTGAGATTTTGTGCGATTGTGATATGAACGAATGAACGTATACTGTGTGAGAGAGGGGCACGTACGGCATTGAGGAGGATGGTGTCCTTGCCACCCGGATGAGCGTTCACCCACGACGTGACGTCGTACACCTGGCCGCGGATGGCCAACCAGGCGTCGCCCTCCTTGTTGTGCTCCGCCAGCTGCCTCCAGGACAGCTCCACCGACTTCATGTTCTCCATCTTCTCGATCGATTCCTTGCTACGCGCTACGTCGGGCTGTCGCAGGCAGCGGGGAAGGCAGGCAACAAAGCGAAGCCGGCAAAGCACGGAGACCAACTCGCTCGCTCTTTCGCTTTTCCATTTCGTTTCAGAAACGCAACACAAACGAAACGAAATCGTTTCGACAAGAGTTTCCTAAATCGTTTCGGAAACGAGCTGTGCTCTGTCGTTCACCGCACGACGGGCAGTGAACTGCCTCTTTCTTCTTGGTTTGGGTACTGTGCTACCCCCTGGAAGAGAACGGCCCACCAGCTTGAGCGTTGTTTTTGATTCTCGGTTCTTTCTTCCCCTTCCGCCCTGCGTGAGCAGAACAGCCAACCGCAAATCACAAGAAAGGCCTCGAAGGGGAGTTGAACAGACCATGGACGACCTTCAGCTGGAGGCCTACACCAAGAAGTGCCAGGAGCACCTGGCTGGCCTCGAGAAGCAATTGGACCTCAAAGGTTTCTAACCCCCCCCCCCAACAGTGGAAGAGAAGGTGAAGGTTGCCAGCCAAACTGACAACAAAGAATATAAGAATTATATCAGAATTAAAAAGTACCCCTTGAAAATAATACTTTTTAATACCAAAATATTATAAGAGTAACGTGATATGTTTTCCTTCTTGCCTGTGTGATGTCCTCCTCCAGAGGGACAAGAGCTGTGGGCTATTCTGGACGAGCTGGACCAGTACCTGGCGAAGGCCATCGCCCTGAAGACCAAGAAGCTCAAGCAGAACGGCGACTGGCCCGCGCCACTCAGCACACAGGCCGGTGCCGGCGATGACGCGGCCGCGGAGGAGAGCGGAAAAGAGAAGGAGGGACAGGCCGCAGAGGGAGAGGAGAAGGAAGAGGCGCAGGAAAAGGAGGAGTGCGGCGACGACGACGAAGAGCAGGGCAAGAGCGACGAAGTCAAGGGAGAGGGTGATGGCGAAGGCCAAGAAGAGGAGGAAGATCCCGTCGTCAGGGACGAATGGCGGCTGCTCATTCGCTTGCTGCTCAAGAAGTTCATCCCCAAGGCCTGCAAGACGGTCCTGCGCAAGAGGTCTGCCGGCCTTCCCAATCCTGTGTGCCTTGTCTGGGCCAGTGACGAGTTGTGGTCTCACCACCACCCACCACCCACCACCCACCACCCACCACCACGCGTATGGTTGCAGGTATACGATGCAGACGCGACAGCGCATCGGCCAGTTCCTCCAGAACGTGCTGCGCATAACCGCGCTGCACATAATCACCGATACCAAGTTGGAGCTGGTGAAGAACCTGAGCTGGCTCTTCGACCCCGAGCTCGTCTTCTACCCCGTCTACCCGAGCTACAAGATGGGTCCCGCCGGCCAGATGATCGTACAATCGCCGACCACTCTCAACGCCTACCCTTGATTGCTCCTTTATTTATTTTTCTCTCCCGTGATTGGTTCAGACCTATTCCGACGCGCATGCGGAACAGCCGGGAGACTACGCTACGGTACTCATCGCCCGAGCAGATCGCTCGCTAGGCTCAGTCACAGCCGCTCATCATCGGCTCTCTTTCTCTCTGTGTTGCACCTGCAGCGCGTGGGCAGGATCTCGGTGTTCATGGTGGACAACCTGAACGCGTTCGGCGTGGCGGGTGGCTTCGACTACATCGCCGCGCGCCTGTCCATCCTCGACAGGCCGGCCGAGCTGGGCCACATCATCATGCTCCTCGAACCCCTCATCATGGTACGCACAACTCTCCACAGTTCTGCTCCGTATTCTAGCAGCAGCTGTCAGTTCGTCGTCTTTGACCATTTGGCTTTCTTCTCCCCGCGTACAGGTTCGCAAGAGCTTGAAGTGGCCGTTCGCGCGCGACTGGTGGAGCAAGATCCAGCCGTTTGTTTTTGCGCGGGTGATCGGCATGGACGAGAAGGAGTTCAGAGCCGTCACAAAGGAGGAGATCAGCCGCGTGGTGCTGATCGTCGAGAAGCTTGCCAAGCTGCTCATCGACCCGCTCAACAAGGTCGCCGGACGGTACGCGCCACTCACCGCCTTTCTCCCTCGACCACTACACCTTCAGCGTATACCAATCTCTGTGGTGCGCGTCTATGTGACAGGGAGACCTACGCCGAACAGCTGGAGAAGTTCAAGCTGGCGCTGGCCCACAAGTGCCTGCATTCGTCCAACCTGGAGAAACGACTCTTCGGCATCAACACCGTGACGACGCTCATCAACGAGGCCCAGCGCAAGGACGAGAACAAGGCCAAGGCCGCGACCTACACGTACAAGTCGAGCTTTACCGGCGCCAGTGAAATTCTCTGCATTCTTTCCTGACCTGCAACTTTGCTGACCCGCTGACCCGCTGACCTTCTCCTGCACAGCTCGCACTACTACGGCCGGTCGATGCTCAAGTCCAAGTCCACCAAGTGGCTCACCACCGCCTATGTAGTGGGCTGGCTCGAGGAGAAGCAGGTCGTGGAGCTGCTCTTTGGCAAGGGCGTCCATTTCGAGCTGATCTCGCGAAGCAAGGACATCCTCCGCGTGCTGTCCGAGTTCCGAAGGTACTCCTCCGCCGCGGTTTCGTGTTGTAGTGGTGTAGCGCTCAGTGCTAGGCTAAGCCACTGCGTTTGGTCCCCCCTTGGCACCAGGTTCGGCGAAGAGCACATCAATCTGATGTGGAGCGCTGCTGTGGGCAAGGGCAAGCAGGAACGGATCACGGACACCATCTACGACCTGTTCGACCACCTGACCAAGGACCTGGAGCCCGAGCTTGTGGCCTTCCTCGTGCAGAAGATCAGGGACACGCGGGTGTTCGATGTCAAGACGCTCAATCTCATGAAAACTCTGACGCTGCACCAGCTTCTCGAAGACGAAGACGAGGTACCTCACCCACCAATCTCCCCCCGCCCCAGTGCCCCTGTTGGTGTTCGCCACTTCTCACATTCGCTCACGCGCACATGTTCGCGTCATGCAGGAGCGCTGCATTGGCGGGCTGCAGCTCTATTGGGACATCATCCAGGATGACCACTTCATCTCACGCGAGATATCTGAGGAGGCGACCAACCACTTGAAGGTAGGCCCTACCCTTCTCATTGACCCATAAGTTAATAAGAACTCACCACTTCTTCAATTCGAATTCACACAGGAAATCGTGGTGCGCAATCGCTGTGAAAAGTATCGCAAGAACTTCACGGCGATGTGTACAAAGAACATTCAGCAGAGTTCTTCGGTTCCTCAGTCGCTCAAGCTGCTCCTCGAGATTTTCGGTGTGTTGTGCCCGGTCCCCCACATCAGACACAATCAGACACGGTTACTAATCATTGATGCCGCCACCACAGACACCTTCCCGGCGTCGGGCGTGGATGAGGACCGCGGCTCCCTCATCGAGGGGCTCCAGCAGGACTTTAACATCATCGACCTGTTCTTCACCGATCTCGTGACCTACAAGCAGAAGGCCCTGGAAAAGATAGAGAAGAACCGGAAGGAGAGCACGTTGCGGGACAACCAGGCGCCCAGTTCTCCCTCCTTGAGGTGCGCCTCCATGCCGCAGTGCTTGTCGACATCGGTTGGGTCTGTGCGGGACTGACTTACTTTTTTATTTTTATTCCAGGCCTGAGGCCAAGGAGGAATTGGACCTGGGCAAGCAGACCCTGGTCGGCGTGGAGCCGCACACCAAGCAGATCAAGACGCGCCTCAAGTTCCTGTACTACATTCTCAAGCACTCCACGCTGACCCTGCCGCTGGACCACCTGAACACGCTTTGGGACTGCGTCATCGGCAACAGTCTCACTCCCAAGGAGAAGGACCTCGGTACGCGCCCTGCCGCCATGAAACGCACGCGCGCACGCACGCATAGCGCTCACTTCCCCTCGCACAGGGTTGAACTGGCTGATCAAGGCCTGCGGGAGTCGCTCTGTCTTTGACCAATCCGTGATGGAGGAGGCGACCAAGCTGATATTCGAGAGCAAGCTGTGCACCGCCCTCGACCACGCGTCGCTCAGTCTCGCCGGCCTCACCTGCTTCATGGAGTACTTCCGGTTCGTCTCTCCGCTCCCTTTCCCTCTAATGAGTCATGCTTTTTTTCTGATGGTCTCCATATGTCGCGTCTGCTGCCAGTTACCATAATTGCGCCCAGGGGAAATTGCACAAGATCATTCCGAGTTGGCCACGAGGCCAGAGCCCCACCTACATCGTGCGCAACGTTGATCTGATCGGACTGAAGGTACACACCCACTCCTGCACCGCCCACCAGCTTTGCTTGGCACTTGGATTTAACCCACGCCTGTCCGATCTGCTTCTTTTTATCAAGGCCCTCTGGGCGCTGGTACTGCGCGTTGCCGACGAGGAGGTGGCTGTCGACGCAATCGCCGAGTTGAACGCCCTATACGACAGGGAGAAGGTACTTGGCGCCTTGGCCGTTGCTCGTTGGACGTCGCAAGAGACCGGATCTCTAACGTTTGCGTGGGGGCTGCGACGACAGTTGTCGCCCGAGCTCCAGCGCCGTATCGGGGCCATCCGCGATGACTACATATCCACGATCATGAGCCATCTCGAAACGGCCAACGCGGCCCAGAACGAGGCCAGCAACAACACAGCCGTCGTCAGGCGCTGCCTCACCCTCCTCACGGTTCGCCCTCCTCTCCCGCCCATTGCGCTACCGGTCCGGTTCGCTGAGTGGCCGCACCCATGTGCATACGCAGACGTTCTTGGAGGAGCTGGATCTGCAGCAGGCCGGCGAGGCCCTGGCCGAACCGGAGGACGAGCTGATCACGCTGTACTTCTACGCCGCGCGGGGCCAAAACCGCTTCCTGCTGGAGGTGTCCGACGCGATCAGCCTGCGAGCGCTGAAGCGTCAGGCCGCCAAGGAGATCAACAGGTGCGTGCGCACACATGCCCTTTATATTCTCATTGTCGTTATCGTAATCATTATTATTTTCTTTTTTTCCTGACTACTCGTCGTCTGTACACAGGTCCGTCAATCGGATTGTGTTCCAGCTGAGTGTGTATTCTTCTCGCGATGAAGACGCC